CTCTCCCCATCCATGCCGGAGAGGCTGCAGAAGGACCTGCTGGAGGGTCCCATCACGACTGACGCGCTGTTCGGGGCCAATTTCAAGGCCATGCTTGAGAAGTCAAAGTCAGAGGAGGTGTCGGAAACTGTGCTCCACCTGATGAAGCTGCAAAGGGATCGCCGTGGCCAGCGGCAGCAGCAGAGACGTTCCACAGCTGCAGCAGCGACCTCTCGCCCCGCTCCTCCGCCAGAGAACAGCCCTTCTCATTGCGTCAACCAGCGACTCAGCGCTTCCCCAGAGACCGTCAACAAGCGCCGCCCTGCACCAACCAGCCGCAGGGCCCACAGAGGAGGCGACACAAAAAATGACTCTTTGCAGGTAATGTGTATTCACAATGATGATTTAAGTTTTAAAATAAAACGAAAACATCATTCAGAGAATAAAGTGTATTCTGATTCCAGCCTGACTGTCAGGCTGGAATCTCTGTGTAGTTGCACTTTGTTTTTTTACCAGACTGCCCACTACTCCCAACTCCAGCTGCCAACTGGTCCTCCTGTACTGGCCCGCACAAGAGATTTACAAAGATGGCACAGACAAAGAACACAGGTAAAACAAAAAATAAAAAGAGTGGAACACATTCTTTTCTGTTACATTATTTAGTATATGATGGTTATGATTCTCATAACAATAAATGTAATAACTTTCCCACCTGTATTTTATTAGTGCCATGTGAAATTTGTCATAGTCTCAATATTACTTGTGTCAAATATATTTTTCTCTCCTAACTTGTTTAGAATTGTTTGTTTTTGTAGGTAATGAATAATGCAGGTTCAACCTCTATGAATTAGTAATATTTGCAAGTTAAGTAAAAATCTTAACTCTCAAATCTGTCCCACTGTGTCCTACCAAACTGCTCACTTGTCTCTTTACATTTATTTATTTTTTAGTTTATTTGACATTTTTTCATGTTTATTTCTTGAAAGGGAATCCATCCTGAACCTGCCAGCGAGGTGGTGGTGGTGTGAAAGCCCAAAACTGTGGTGAAAAGATGTTTGCACTCCACGCTTTACAGAGCTTTCACAGGTATAACCTTTGGGTTAATGTTTTTATGTCCATGTTTCCTTTGTCCAAACTTATTGTGACTCTGTCACTCGTGTGTTTGTAGGACCACTTCCAGATCCTGACATCCTGGCATCGGGAGAACAACTACACCAGCTGGAGTCCCAACCACTTATCGCACTTATCCTAGAGATGGTCTCTCAGCTTTGGAGCTGGTACCATCCATCCTTGGTTCTGTGCCACAAAACACAGAACCAAGTCTGGATGTTATTTTATGAATGTTATTTTTATTTTATAAACTTACTGCAACACAACCTTAGGACTTTCACCCAAGGACATAATTTATACACAGAAAAGACACTTGGGTTTGTCTAAAGTAAGCAGGAGACTGTTCCAAGATTCAATATACATTAAGTTAAAAACATATTCTAATAGAGGCAATAATGATTCTTAAATATTGAGCCAAGGCCGAGGCTTTCCAGTGTTCAGTCAACTAAAAGACTAAAGGATGGTTCAAGGTAACAAGAGCAGAAATTCACCCACAAGCTGTGGTGCACGAGACACGAGTGGAACAGAACCTACACAAGACTCGACTGCCACCTTCAACCTGGAATATAAATATGAAATTAACAAAAATAAATATGAATAATACTTAAGAATTGCAAAACAAACAAACAAACAAACATGGGCCTCACATTCACATACAAAAAGCCAAAAGCCAGCCAATCTTCTCTCAGGTAAGACACTGACTAATTATGGTGACTCAAGCAGGCTGTGAGAGTGCAGTAAAGCATGGTAGGACAGATACGGTGGTTTTCTTGCCCCACAAGAACAACCAGGAACTGAACAAAAACAACAGCGCAGAGACTGAGCCATTTTCCTCACTGTCTAACACTAACACTAGAGCCACAGGAAGTTGTGGCATTTTCTAACAATGTTGTCCAGAACAGCTAGCGCCATTGCAGCCACACAAAATTCTGCAGGCAGCTGTTTGAACAGCTAAGTAGCAGCCGCGGGTCCTACGCATCATTTCTTAATTCAAGATATCTAAAAGTGTCATTCTGACTAGTCATAATTACATTCGAGATATCTTGAATTGTAATTACGGATGTTTGACCCTTCAAACGACAAATCAGGTGACGTCATTTAAGATATCTTGAATTACATTTTGACTAGTCAGCATGTAATTGGTCCTAGTCAAAATTCAATTTTAAATATCTAGAATGTAACTACAGATAGTCAGACTACTTGATTTTATGTTAAAAGGGCTTGCCATACTCACGCTCCCAGACTATAAATGAGCTCGAACACTTGCTCTGTGAAACTTTATGTTTGTGCCATTTGTCCTGAAAATAACCTGCAGCTCTGCCTCCGTGTCATGGGCCGAGTGTTAACACTCGTGTCGTCAACAAGCTTCCGTTAGTCCTGACTGTGTGTGTGTGTGTGTGGGGGGGGGACTTAAAGCCCACACCATTTCCAAAAACAAACATAGCAGCTTCTGTAAACCAAATCTTGTGGTTTTAATTCTCAGCAGAGGAACAAGGCTGTGAGACTTTAGATTTCTTTAAGGGTCAGTGGTTAATCTGATGAATGTAAATAAAAGAGGATTTTAGTCAAGAACAAAACGCGTCTTCTGTCCTGTCTGAAGACTCTGCAGGAAGCAGACCTTACCTTCGCAGCGTAGCTCCACATGTCGATGCGGTCCTGAAGTCTTTTCTTGCACTCAGGCTGCAGACGGATTCTCTTGTCCTGCAGCGACTCCATCAAACACGACATTTCTACAAAACAAGGACCAGAATCAGAACCGCTCTGCAGGATCAGATGAAATAAAGAAACTTGAGCAGAGAAACCAACATGACAAGAAACGGTTCAGCCCTCGGCACGATATGGAGCAACTCAACGTGAGCTCCATTCAACCCACACATTCAGAATAAGATATGAGAAAGTAAGGAAATGATTTTATATAACCCTCCTGCTGCCCTTAGGTTAAAATGACAGCAGGGTTGTTAATAAAGTTGTTAACACTCTGTAACACAGCAGACAGAAGTAAAATGTGCAGTGGTGCTTGAAAGTTTGTGAACTCCTTTTCATTTTCTTAGGGATGCACGATATTATCGGCATGGTATCGGTATCAGCTGATATTAGCATTAAAATTAAATATCGGACATCAGCCATTCCAGCAAAATAACACCGATATAAAAGACGCTGTTGTTGTATGACAACCTGTTGACGGGGATGTCTGCAGCGCTAGCACAACATGACGTCACGCACGCCTACCTGATCTCACAGTGGAGAGGAAAATTCAAAATGTCGGTGGTGTGGAAAATTTTTTCGTTGCGGATGTCAGAGTCCGAAGATTTTTGGACTACGTTGAGATATTTTTCCAACGTAACCACATTACCCGATGTCATTGAGAAGCTAATAGCTGATAGCACGTGGGCGAGGTTGACCACAGACATTTGGCCGTCGTGTTAGCCCTGTTAGCATGATCAGTCTTACAGCACAATGGATAGACAAAAACTTTGATCTTAAAAAGTCTGTCCTTCATGCACAGGAGTGCAGAGGATCCCACACTGCAGCTAGGAACCTGGAACAAGCCTCCACAACTGAGACAGCATCACAGGTGACTAATGCTAATAAATAACATTTAACACTTTTCATTTAATAAAAGTTAAGGTGCTATGCATATCATATGGCTGTTACTGGATATATGTCACCAGCT